AATGACAATTCCTGCCACTCTTCCTTGACACGTCACTACACGTTATACACATCACTACACGTCATACTCGTCACTACACGTTATACACATCACTACACGTCATATTCGTCACTACACGTTATACACATCACTACACGTCATACTCGTCACTACACGTTATACACATCACTGCACGTCATACTCGTCACTACACGTTATACACGTCACCACGTCATACTCGTCACTGCACGTTATACACGTCACTGCACGTCATACTCGTCACTACACGTTATACACGTCACTGCACGTCATACTTGTCACTACACGTCATACTCGTCACTACACGTTATACACGTCACCACGTCATACTCGTCACTGCACGTTATACACGTCACTACACGTCATACTGTCACTACACGATACTGTCCGAACAACTAACCACCTATTGTGTTGACCATAAAAGACACATACAGTTAAAATGAAAGGTCATGAATAGAGGGAAGAGTTAGGGGGGGGGAGGGGAGGGGAGAGGAGGGAAGGAGGGGAGGGAGGGGAAGGAGGGGAGAGGAAGGAAGGAGGGGGAGAGGGAAGGGGAGAGGAAGGGGGGAGAGGAAGGGGTTAGGAGGGGTGAGAGGAAGGGGTTAGGAGGGTGAGAGGAAGGGGTTAGGAGGGTGAGAGGAAGGTTAGGAGGGGTGAGAGGAAGGGAGGGAGGAAGGGGTTAGGAGGGGAGAGGAAGGGTTAGGAGGGGGTGAGAGGAAGGGGTGAGGAAGGGGTTAGGAGGGGGAGAGGAAGGGGTTAGGGAGGGGTGAGGATGGAGAGGGGGAGAAAAAGGGTTAAAGGGGTGGGGAGGGGAGAGGAAGGGATAAAGGGCTGGGGAGAAGAAGGGGTTAGAGGGATGGAGGATGAGGCGGGGGTCGATCAACACGGTAAAATAAACAACTGTACAGAGGTTGTTTATTGCCCCGGTCAGCTGGTGGTGGCGCTCGTGTTGGTGTTGAGTGCGGGAGAAGGTCAACAGAGGCGGCCAGCTTATTGGTTGATGTTTGTTATTACGTGGGTGGGGGGGGGGGGAGCATGGTCCCCTTGTATGCTTCATTGTTCGTACTGTACCGACGGTTAGCTGTTTATCCCAACTGAGCCACAAATAAGTACAAGGTAGAATGAAAACAACTAAAACATGAATAAAAAAATCAAAAAGCAAATGATCTAACCCAACCTAACCTAACCTAATCTAACCTAATCTAATCTAACCCAACCTAACCTAACCTAACCTAACTTAACCTAACCTAACCTAACCTAGTCAAACATATCATACAAAACTAATCTAACCTCAATCTTCAATCCCCCTTCACACACACTAGGCGAAGGTTACTACCCGGATGCTTTAAATTTGTAAACGATGAATTTCCTTGTAAGTGGGATTATTTTAGTTTAGGTTAGGTAGGTTTAGGTAAGGTATAGGTTAAGGTAAGGTAGGTTAGGTTAGGTTAGTTTAGGTTAGGTAGGTTTAGGTAAGGTATAGGTTAAGGTAAGGCAGGTTAGGTTAGGTTAAGATTATATTTTAAATGGTAAACTATATAAAAATCTGGGATAATCCTCCTCAATGACCTTACACCATCAGATTTCACCTTCAGAATGTATAGAAGTTCAGGTTAGGTTAGATTAGGTTAGGTTAGGTTAGATAAGGTTAGATTAGATAAGGTTAGATTAAGTTAAGTTAGATTAGGTTAGCTTAGGTTAGGGTAAGATATGAGTTCAGATTCTCAAAGGCTCCTGCGATTAATTTTCCTTTAAGTGACTAAACCAAAATACAACTAAAGGACAGATAGAAGAGAAAGAACAGAGAATTAAAGAATAAAGAAGGAGTAAAAGTAAGTCAATAAATAGAAATAAATGATAAAAGGTAAATGAAACGGATATTATTGTTACACGAACACTTTAACTAGATACACTTACTGAGCACTTTAACTAGATACACTTACTGAGTACTTTAACTAGATACACTTACTGAGTACTTTAACTAGATACACTTACTGAGCACTTTAACTAGATACATTTACTGAGTACTTTAACTAGATACACTTACTGAGCACTTTAACTAGATACACTTACTGAGTACTTTAACTAGATACACTTACTGAGCACTTTAACACTTGTAGTTACTGTAGAGACTTTTCTAGAAACTTACGTGAAGAAAGTGATGTGTCCTTTTGTGAGTCTGAATATGTGGAGGAGGGTGAAGATAGTGTCGGAGGAGGGTGAAGATAGTGTCGGAGGAGGGTGAGGATAGTGTCGGAGGAGGGTGAGGATAGTGTCGGAGGAGGGTGAAGATAGTGTCGGAGGAGGGTGAGGATAGTGTCGGAGGAGGGTGAGGATAGTGTCGGAGGAGGTTCTTGTATATTTATAAAGTTAGCAATATGTGGATGTGGTGGATGGTGCAGTATATGTGTAGAGGAGGAGGATGCGGGCCAGGATGTGTCCCCCCACGCTGATGTTTTGGTAATATTTGTCCAGCCTCTGAGATACAGACTATCCGGCCTGTGTTTGTTGCTTGTTAAAGTGTGTGTCTGTTTGTTGCTCGATGTTATGACCTTTCTTGTGGGTGTTGCTGGATAACTTATCACTGTGTGCTTGATGTTCACAACGTCGTGTTATGTTTGTCCATTAAATGTGGCTCTGTTGTGTTTAACTCTCAACGGTTGAGGTTAGACACGGTCCAAGTTAGGTTTATGTTGTTTATTGTACAATAACCATTACATGGATACTTTACATAGTTATTAAGTGAAACTATCAAGGGATTCTATCAAATGTATCAAACTAACACACGAGAAAAGATTGGACCAATACAGTCAGATACCGGCGAGCTAACTGATAACGACGGAGAAATGAGCAATAATCTGAATAAATATTTTTCAACTGTTTTCACCACCGAAAACATAAACATGATACCCGAGACACCGACTCTATACAGAGTTATTGAAGATAATAAATTAAGCGAGATAGTAGTGACTAGTAACGCTGTTAGTAAGCAAATAGACAAACTAAAGCCTAATAAGTCACCAGGTCCCGATGAGATATTTGCCAGAGTATTAAAGGAATGTAAGGAAGAGCTTAGTATACCCTTAGCAAAGTTGTTTAACATGTCCTTAAAAACGGGTGTAGTACCAGAATCCTGGAGGATAGCGAATGTGATACCGATTTTCAAGAAGGGGGATAGATCACTATCCTCTAACTACCGTCCAATCAGTCTAACATCAGTTGTACTGTAGGCAAATTACTGGAAGCAATCATTTCAAACTCTATTCGAAATCACCTGGAGAAGCACAAATTGATCAATGATTCCCAACATGGCTTCACAAGCGGGCGTTCATGTCTAACTAATCTATTAACATCCTTTTCAGCTGTTTTCGAATCACTGGACGAGGGGCACAATTATGATGTGGTTTGTCTCGACTATAGCAAAGCCTTCGAAAGAGTCCCCCACGAAAGACTAATAAGAAAAGTGGAGGCTCATGGCATTAAAGAAGATATTCTAAAATGGATTAGGCCGTGGTTACAGGACAGGAAACAGCGAGTGAACATTAACGGCACTAAATCCGATTGGAGCAACGTCACTAGTGGAGTTCCCCAAGGCTCAGTACTTGGACCATTATTATTTATTATATACATAAACGGCATAGATATCGGCGTAGACAGCAATATAAGTAAATTTGCTGATGACACTAAAATAGGGCGTGTAATTAAATCTGACGAGGACTCAGCTAAACTACAGGAAGATCTAAGAAAAATTTCGAATGGTCTGAAAAATGGCGGATGAAATTCAATGTGGACAAATGTAAAGTACTCAGTATAGGAGATGTAAACGGGGAAACCAGATACCAGATGAACAACGATGTTATTGAGAAATCCGACTGCGAGAGATTTAGGAGTAACGATAAGTAGGAATCTTAAACCAAGTAAACAATGTGTATTTGCTCAAAACAAGGCTAATTAAGTACTTGGGTTCATACAAAGGAGTGTTAGTTACAAGACTAGCGAGGTCATTCTATAACTATATCTTGCGCTCGTGAAACCTCATTTGGATTACGCCGTTCAATTCTGGTCACCGTATTACAGAATGGATATAGAATCCTTGGAAAGAATTCAGAGGAGAATGACAAGACTAATCTGGGGCATTGGGAACCTTGAGTACAGAGACAGGTTAAAGCATCTTATTTTGCTCTTCCTCAAGAGACTTAGAGTGAGGGGCGATATGATAGAGGTGTATAAATGGAATTCAGGGCTAAACAAAGGGGACATTACAAAGGTAATCAAACTATCCAACCAGGAGCGAACTCTTAACAATTGTTTTAAATTAGATAAATTTAGATTTAGAGGCGAAATAGGTAAACATTGGTTTGGAAATAGAGTAGTGGACGAGTGGAACAAGTTACCAAATATCATCATTAACTCGAATACGCTGGATAGCTTCAAACACAGGTTGGATGGATATATGAGCATTGAGCAATAGGGATTGGGTGTAAATGGGACTGCCCAGTGTGGGCCAGTAGGCCCGCTGCAGTTTCCTCCATTCTTATGTTCTTATCATACAGGATTATAATGCTTCATCATTGTATAGTGTATAGACAGTGTAGGTATACAATATAGCTACATACACAGTGTGGGTATACAAACAATGGTAAACAAAAAGTTGATTTGATCGATGATAGCCAACAGTCATCATATTTCTTTCTTTCAGGAAACAGAGCTGTACCAGACACCTGAGAACAGCAACCTGGCGACCTACTGTGCAGGTTGTGGTGTAGGCCCTGTCAAGAGGTCTTACTACTGACGTCACCCATCACCTGCTACAGGTGCTATAACACTCACCCTTAATATTCTTTATCGTCTTATAATTTACCATTAATGATAACTTACTGAGAGATGCTCCAAGATACATAGTGATACAGTATATTGTTACATGTATCATCATTTACCAACATTACTAAGCACTGAATTTGCTGGTCCAAATAAACCTGCTGTGTATGTAAACTTTTATTATCGTCTGTATCTGGACAACCACATATAACATTATCACAAATGATAGATTAATTTTTTGCTCACCTTAAGATTAGGCACCCCAGCTTATTTCACCTGATGATTAACCATCCTTAATGTTAACTTAACCTATCCATCCCAGGTAGAGTTAAGGTGGTTAATCTTTGCCTGTTATAAAACCCCGTCTGAGTGAGATCTTTGTTACTTTATTTTAATTATAAACTTCAATAATATTTTGTCCTTTTGCAGTGAGTCAACAGAAGTGTCAGTAAGCAGGCCTGATCTTCATCTCTGTCGTCTTCAGGGAGTAATCATAACCTCGAAATCTCTCCCAGTTGACACCATCAGCACTAGACGAGTGTGTGCCTCCGTGATACCTTCCGTTGAGGTTAGATTCGTGGCATTTGTTGTACCACCAAGCTCCTAGGTACCTGAAATAACAGAATAGAAATGATGAGTCACACACACACACACACACACACACACACACACACACACACACACGTTCTAGCATGATTCAAGACGGCTGAGACAAGGATAGGAATGGGATAATTTTTTGTGATGGGAATATTTTTTTACCATATAAAACCTATTAACTTCAGCACCTGTTAAAAGCATAATCGTTCATAGAGTTAAGGTTGTTAAAAATATTGAGCAATATTGATAGAATATAAAATGAACTTGGTTATGTACAGTGAAAAGTAGATAAATATATAGAAAGTTTTTATCTAATGTTTATGGTATTGCAAAGTGAGAGAAGGTGAAGAGAGAGAGAGAGAGAGAGATAGTAATAATTGTAGTTTTCCTGTAATACTGGTGCCTGAGTTAGTGAAGTGTATAAGAACTCTCTGTGAGTATCTCCTTGTTCTGTATTTTAAACTGAAGCCATACTGTACTCACGTTACTGCACAGCTGCCTGCGTTATTGTCATGATCCACATCTTTCGTGGAAAACTTGTTGAGGTTTCCATATGTGAAGGAGTCACCAGCGTTGCCAGTGTAACCGTTAACTTCCAGCTTGTAAAAGGCGGTCCTGTCGTGCACGTAGAAGAACTGGTACTGGGCCCACCGTTTGTCATTGTCAAAGTCTGTTAAATCAAACCGTATCTGGTTAAATGTTTGGTCGGTGAGAGCGTGGATGTGGTCGAGTCCCAGCCAAAACTGGCCGGAGATGTTGCCAAAGCCTAGCGCGTACTCCATCCACGTGCGGTAGAAATCTTCCTGCGGGAGCACATCTTCCCTTCGTTGGATGACTGTCCAGCCACCTCCTTCTGTGTCCAAGTCACAGTAGACACGGACAGGACGCTGGGGGCAGCAGTCATAGGGATAGATGGTGTAGACCCCACTGATACGGTGGCCGTGATCCTGTACCTCCCGACAGTTGCGGTTGTGGAAGCCAAGTTCCGGCCACAGCAGGTCAGCGAGGAGAAGGTCATCAGTGGAGTTGTCATTGAGCCCCATCACTGGCTTGCTACAGGCGACCACCAACACCGCCACCAACACCAACATTGGCTTCTCCATCCTCATCCTCACAATAACCTGTACAGGACATAAAATTTTGTTAGTTGAAAGACATTTTGGTACCAAGTTATTTATAGCAACAACTGCACATAGAACTAACAGTTGTCTTTAAAAGTTAAACTTATTTTTCCTATATATTAATTGTTATATCATTCATTAGAGTCAACTGAGATATATAAAGTGTGTTGTTTTATTATGTTCAGTAAAGTAACATAATAAAGTAGCTTCAGGACTTGGGAGTAATGAACTGATGTAGTCTGGTTAGTTATGATGGAATACACTGTTTTGTGGAGAAATAATGACTTTTGTCTCTAATTACAACTTATTCTTCATTAAGTGACTTATGTCTCTTGAGTGAGTCAGAGACGACTCATTAAGTGTTTGCAAGGATGACTCTTAATATTGACTGTTATTGAGGACTGACTCCCTTAGTTTGTGACTCGATGGTGATTTAACACTGCGAGTGACTCAGGGATGAGTTAATACTGCGAGTGACTCGGGATGACTTCATACTGCGAGTGACTCGGGATGACTTCATACTGTGAGTGACTCAGAGATGACTTCACACTTTTGTGTTGTTTTATCCTCTTCACCACTGATCGGCTCGTTACTCGCTTGGCGAGTGGTCACGTCTCTGTTACGCACTGTTGGCAAGTACTGGGCATACACCGGCTGTGAGTGACTTAGTGACGACTTAACACTGTGAGTGACTCGGGAATGACTTAATACTGTGAGTGACTCAGTGATGACTTAACACTGTGAGTGACTCAAGGATGACTTAACACTGAGAGTGACTCAGGAATGACTTAACACTTACTGTGAGTGAGTGTGATAAATAGCACTTACTGTGTTACTGGTGTGTGTGAGAGATGTGGTAGTGGTGTATGCTCCGTGGTGTGAACTGCTTATATATATACCTGTCTCTCCTCGTCCTCCTGAACAATCCTGGTGAAGATGAATAGACACTAGACAGTGGTGCCTTCTCCTCCTGGGAAGTTCTGTGGAGTATAATAGACAGTGCCTCTCTTCACCCACAATATACACAACTCATCACCTCCTTGACTGGGATTCTACCAGGATGTCCTACTGAGGTCACAAAGGTGAATTTCTGCCCCTGTCTCAGTGGACCAGCCAGACCATGAAAAAAAGACGGATCACATGAAAATTAGGCCCCCTGTTTGTTTCACCTAATTATTAGATACTTAACACTAGTTATGTTAATTTAGGTTAGGTTATATTTGGTTAAGTTTTGTTAGATTAGGTTAAAGTTAGGGTGGTTAATCTTAAGGTGAAATTAACTGTGGGAGGTAACCACCGGGTCATCCAATTAACATACCATGTGTAAGAAAGTTTTAATGAGCTGTGAATCATGACTGTGGTAAAATGAGTCTTAATCTATAACTTTGGTGTTCTTTAGAACCTGGAAAAGTTTCTCCGTGTACAATATATTATCTGTTTCAATTATATAAAGATGAACTGCTGTGATACATGATTGTGACTATGTTTCTATTGGGGTTTCCACGTTGAACTGTTTCCTTTATTGCCTTTCTTTTTTGCCTAAATCCAAATAACATATCAGTTGTTCCTTAAGTCACACAAATATTTTAATAGATTTTATTCTCAAGAGGTTGTCTTGTTGGTCACTTAGGCATGCCATTAAATGTGGCTTTGTTGTGTTAAACTTTCAACAGTCAAGGTTAGACACAGTCCAAGTTTGGTTTATGTTGTTTATTTTACTATAACTATTTCATGATTACTTTACATAGTTATTCAGTAAAACCATCATCATACAGGATTATAATGCTTCATCATTGTATAGTGTATAGACAGTGTAGGTATACAATATAGCTACATACACAGTGTGGGTATACAAACAATGGTAAACAAAAAGTTGATTTGATCGATGATAGCCAACAGTCATCATATTTCTTTCTTTCAGGAAACAGAGCTGTACCAGACACCTGAGAACAGCAACCTGGCGACCTACTGTGCAGGTTGTGGTGTAGGCCCTGTCAAGAGGTCTTACTACTGACGTCACCCTTCACCTGCTGCAGGTGCTATAACACTCACCCTTAATATTCTTTATCGTCTTATAATTTACCATTAATGATAACTTACTGAGAGATGCTCCAAGATACATAGTGATACAGTATATTGTTACATGTATCATCATTTACCAACATTACTCAGCACTGAATTTGCTGGTCCAAATAAACCTGCTGTGTATGTAAACTTTTATTATCGTCTGTATCTGGACAACCACATATAACATTATCACAAATAATAGATTAATTTTTTGCTCACCTTAAGATTAGGCACCCCAGCTTATTTCACCTGATGATTAACCATCATTAATGTTAACTTAACCTATCCATCCCAGGTAGCGTTAAGGTGGTTAATCTTTATGTTGTGGTTAATCTTTGCCTGTTATAAAACCCCGTCTGAGTGAGATCTTTGTTACTTTATTTTAATTATAAACTTCAATAATGTTTTGTCCTTTTGCAGTGAGTCAACAGAAGTGTCAGTAAGCAGGCCTGATCTTCATCTCTGTCGTCTTCAGGGAGTAATAATAACCTCGAAATCTCTTCCAGTTGACACCATCAGCTCTAGACGAGTGTGTGCCTCCGTGATACCTTCCGTTGAGGTTAGATTCGTGGCATTTGTTGTACCACCAAGCTCCTAGGTACCTGAAATAACAGAATAGAAATGATGAGTCACACACACACACACACACACACACACGTTCTAGCATGATTCAAGACGGCTGAGACAAGGATAGGAATGGGATAATTTTTTGTGATGGGAATATTTTTTTACCATATAAAACCTATTAACTTCAGCACCTGTTAAAAGCATAATCGTTCATAGAGTTAAGGTTGTTAAAAATATTGAGCAATATTGATAGAATATAAAATGAACTTGGTTATGTACAGTGAAAAGTAGATAAATATATAGAAAGTTTTTATCTAATGTTTATGGTATTGCAAAGTGAGAGAAGGTGAAGAGAGAGAGAGAGAGAGATAGTAATAATTGTAGTTTTCCTGTAATACTGGTGCCTGAGTTAGTGAAGTGTATAAGAACTCTCTGTGAGTATCTCCTTGTTCTGTATTTTAAACTGAAGCCATACTGTACTCACGTTACTGCACAGCTGCCTGCGTTATTGTCATGATCCACATCTTTCGTGGAAAACTTGTTGAGGTTTCCATATGTGAAGGAGTCACCAGCGTTGCCAGTGTAACCGTTAACTTCCAGCTTGTAAAAGGCGGTCCTGTCGTGCACGTAGAAGAACTGGTACTGGGCCCACCGTTTGTCATTGTCAAAGTCTGTTAAATCAAACCGTATCTGGTTAAATGTTTGGTCGGTGAGAGCGTGGATGTGGTCGAGTCCCAGCCAAAACTGGCCGGAGATGTTGCCAAAGCCTAGCGCGTACTCCATCCACGTGCGGTAGAAATCTTCCTGCGGGAGCACATCTTCCCTTCGTTGGATGACTGTCCAGCCACCTCCTTCTGTGTCCAAGTCACAGTAGACACGGACAGGACGCTGGGGGCAGCAGTCATAGGGATAGATGGTGTAGACCCCACTGATACGGTGGCCGTGATCCTGTACCTCCCGACAGTTGCGGTTGTGGAAGCCAAGTTCCGGCCACAGCAGGTCAGCGAGGAGAAGGTCATCAGTGGAGTTGTCATTGAGCCCCATCACTGGCTTGCTACAGGCGACCACCAACACCGCCACCAACACCAACATTGGCTTCTCCATCCTCATCCTCACAATAACCTGTACAGGACATAAAATTTTGTTAGTTGAAAGACATTTTGGTACCAAGTTATTTATAGCAACAACTGCACATAGAACTAACAGTTGTCTTTAAAAGTTAAACTTATTTTTCCTATATATTAATTGTTATATCATTCATTAGAGTCAACTGAGATATATAAAGTGTGTTGTTTTATTATGTTCAGTAAAGTAACATAATAAAGTAGCTTCAGGACTTGGGAGTAATGAACTGATGTAGTCTGGTTAGTTATGATGGAATACACTGTTTTGTGGAGAAATAATGACTTTTGTCTCTAATTACAACTTATTCTTCATTAAGTGACTTATGTCTCTTGAGTGAGTCAGAGACGACTCATTAAGTGTTTGCAAGGATGACTCTTAATATTGACTGTTATTGAGGACTGACTCCCTTAGTTTTTGACTCGATGGTGATTTAACACTGCGAGTGACTCAGGGATGACTTAACACTGTGAGTGACTCAGGGATGACTTAACACTGAGTGACTCAGGAATGACTTATCACTGTGAGTGTCTCAGGGATGACTTAACACTGTGAGTGACTTAGTGATGACTTTTCACCGAGTGATTCTATGAGTGACTCAGTGATGACTTAACACTTACTGTGAGTGAGTCGGTTAACTATAACTTACTGTGGCTCGGTTGTGTGAGCTGTGAGATGGGATGGTGTTTTGGGCTCCGTGGTGTTTAATGCTGCTTATATATCAGTGCCCCATCTCCCAGACCGGGACTCGGGGGAAACACTTACTACGATTGTCAATGTGAATTTCTGTCCCTGGCAACAGTGGACCAACCAGGCCATGAAAAAAGAGACAGATCACATGAAGATTAGACACTACAGTACTGTACCTCAGCGTCTTTCACTGGATCATTATTACTGTCCATTTTTTATAGCTTCTGTTATAAGCTCTTTTTTTTTAATTAGCTTTCGTTATGTATGTGCTTTAATAATTGTTTATGTATTTCTATTTTAGTTAGTTGTAGTATAATAATTTAGTCTATTTTTTAAAGCTTCCATTTTATAATTTTTTCAGCTTTCATTATTCTGTACACATTTTGTCATTATGTTTTTTAGCTTCTGTTATGTTATTTTTAGCTTTCATGGTATTTTTTTAGCTTTCATTATTTTGTTTTTTGCTCCGTTATCTTTTATTTAAACCTCCATTATATGTTTTTACCTTTCATTCTACTGTGTCCTTGTTTTTATTTTATATGCTTTTAGTTTCATTTCCACCTGTATTTTTCTGTAGTTTTCATATTATTTTTTTTTTCGTCTGTGAATAGTTGGTTAGCTCGTCAACGGTGGGCGTGAGGAGGAGTTTCTGCTGTAGTTGTCCCGCCATGTTGCCAAGAACAACTGCAGAGAGAGAGAGAGAGAGAGAGAGAGAGTCCTTGATCACTATCTGTGTTGGGTCACTGTCAGGGTTGAAAGCAGTCTGGTCAGTTCAGAGACTTATAAATGTATTTAGAGAGAATTGATGAATGGAGGTGAATATTGGAGAAATGAGGGAGGGTGGATTAGGTTAGGTTAGATTAGGTTAGGTTAGATTAGGTTAGGTTAGTATAAAATAGGTTAGGTTTGGTTTGGTTAGGTTAGGTTAGGTTAGGTTAGTATATAATAGGTTAGGTTTGCATTGATTTGGTTAACGTTCAGATGAAATAAACTGGGGTGCTTTATCATCAGGTGATCCATGTGACCTGCAACACGTTAACACAGATATGTAAACACTACGTCAAGAAGGATCTGCGACTTATATTATGTAAAACTCAACACACACAGACTACAAGACTGGCCTTTTAATCAACCCTGACCTCTGCCACCCTCAAGAGGAGCCATGAGTCCTTGTTGCCTCCCCTCACACAGCCTCCCTCACACCCTTCACATAGCCTCCCTCACACCCTTCACACAGCCTCCCTCACACCCTTCACACAGCCTCCCTCACACCCTTCACACAGCCTCCCTCACACAGCCTCCCCTCACACCCTTCACACAGCCTCCTCACACAGCCTCCTCACACCCTTCACATAGCCTCCCTCACACCCTTCACACAGCCTCCCTCACACAGCCTCCCTCACACCCTTCACACAGCCTCCCTCACACAGCCTCCCTCACACCCCTCACACAGCCTCCCTTACACAGCCTCCCTTACACACCCCTCTCCTCATAACACCCCTCATATCAGTACCCCTCACCCAGGCGGTATTAACCTTGAACACAGACATCCGTGAAACGCACAACTGGGATTGATGTACGTAACAGAGATGTGGCGGCAGGCAAAAGGAAAAAAAAGACTAAACCTTGGATACTTACAAAAACCTTAGAAAATAACAATAACCTTGGACACTAACTAATGGAGATGGTAGAAATAATCATGTAATATTATTATTTTATATTTTGAATTTTTATTATTATTATATATTTAGATTTTTTATTATTATTGTTATTGTTATTTATTATTTTTATTATTTTAAATATTATTTATATTTATTATTATTTTTATTTATTATTATTATTATTATTATTATTATTATTATTATTATTATTATTATTATTATTATTATTATTATTATTATTATTATACAGTACCTGTACTTATTTGACAAAATTTGCAAATTCAGTCATGTATCTTCCTTATTCACAGAAGTATTTACTAATTTATATTCCTACCATTTGGTTCCTTCACTGATTGCGTCACTTTTTAAATCTCATTAGTACTGTACCACTGATGTGAGAGCCAGGCCTGTCAGAAACTAGTTTTGTTTGGATAGTTTTAATGTGTTGGCTATGTAAATATTGAGATTTGTTACTGTATTTATGGGTGTTTAACCTAAGTTTATTTCACCTGAAGAGTCAACACCCTAGTTTATTTTACCTGATGATTAGACACCCTTACACAATCTGGGGATTGGGTGTGGTTAGCTTTAGGGTGTCTCATCATCAGGTGGTCCAACTTATGTTGTGTTTTTTGCTTAATTTACAGAATAATATGACTCAAATTGTATTGGAATCTTGCTTGACTTTGTACACTTTATGCAGGTGGAGAGAGACAACTTGGGTTCATCACCTGGTGTGTCTGGCCGGGTGTGGATCAGTGAGTACCAAGGCCCTCTCCTTTCTTTCTTAATCAGTGAATGAATTTCTACCTCTGGCTGTAGATAGACTTTAAGGTGCGTGGACTACTGTACTGTACTGTATTTGGTTGGGATGTGGAGTATTTTTATTGTGTGAGGGAGAGGGGGGGTGTTTAGGTGTGTTTTTTTTGTTTTTATTGGGAAAGATTAAAGTTTCGTCCCCAGAAGTTTTCAGGGTTATGGTCTGGCCAGCTTTGTTTTAATACAGTAATGTTGTTAGTTTTATTTTATTGTATGTACTTTTTCATATATATTTTATTATTTATTTGTTCTTTTGCACTTGTTGGAGTAGCACAGAATGGTGTTTGATAACCTGTTGTATACTGTACCTACACTTGATATGTGGGGTCAAATAACACAGAGACAGAATGTGACATATTTTTTTTTATTAATAACAAGCAGCAGTTATAACACCGTACTAAAGAAATAAATACTGCACCAAAATTAAATAACAACAAGATTCTCCACAAAATTGTAACAGTTTATAATAAATTAAAACTTAACAGAAACAAAACATTACCTCCCCCCCCAAAAAAAAATTCTTGTCTTAAATGAATAAAAGTTAATCACCTGAAAATTACACATCCCAGTTTATTTCACCTGATGATTAAACAACTTAATGCTATTTGGGGGGATTTAATTTGGGTTAGGTTAGCATTAGGACATGTAATCATCAGGTGACATACTCTGAGATGCCTATTCGGCATGTTGATCCATACAAACTAAACAAACAATAACAAGAAGCAGCTCCAACATGTATATGAAGGGTTAAAAGCGATTGATACTACCTGTAGCTGGATAGATAGATAAGAGAGATAAAACAATAGATAGACAGGTTTGGCATTAATCAATTATCTACGTATATTCTAACATCTTTACTCTCAAGGAATACTGTATATATCTTGGGAATTTGGACAATCTAGACCCTGGGAAATAATATAGTACAATACTGTAGTGTCTTTTACCAGTATCACGACGACAGCAGCCCACACCCACTCTCTAGGTAATGCTCTACAGTACTGTATATGATGGAAGTCTCGGCAAAAAAGCACGTTGGCTAATACTTAAAAAGCATTCCCGAAAGCTAGGGATAATAAAGGTGTCCTTAACCCATCTGACCCAATTTTGAAAACTTAATATTGTATCGTCCAAAATATTACAGTTAAAACAAGACAGAATAAATCATAAGTGTTGTTTGTCAGGTGTAATAATTTGGCATGTTATATGTATACCTGTATGTATAATAAGTTTTAAAAGGGGTTAAATAATTCATGGACACCCTAACTGAATTATATCATTAGAAAGGAAGAAAGTCACTTAATACAGTACTATTGAGATTATTACAGGCTGTTGATATCTAAAACAATTTACAGCACTACTGTATAATATGTTTTTAATATAAAGAAAAAATCACAGTAAACTTGGGTTAAGTTGGACACTCCCTCACGGTTGTTCTCAAGTAGACTGAAGAAAAGTAGATTTCAGACAACCCATCAACTTTGGAGCCAAATGTTCTTTTATGTAAAATTAGTCACAGGTTTATAGTGAGCGCCGATCTAGTATGTATACAACAGTGGTTTAGTCCGCGTATAAAGCAACTGTCTCTTGCAGTCTCTCTTGTCAGGTTCTTGTGTACGAGAGCTAACAGTTCTAGGGTTAATAATGCATTCCTATTCTCAGTACTGTATATACACTGTATGGCTTAAAATCAAAATGCTTTATAATTCTGGGTTTTTCATATGAATGATTAATTGCATCATAAGGAATGCAGCTGCAGGTATTTGGTGTCTCAAACTGATAACACGGATGGAATTTTGTGCGTCATAAACTGAATGTGCTGTGGGAATAATCATATAAGATGACAGCTCTACAAGACACTGGAGTCAGTAGTAGCACGTATCTGACACTTGAGGCCCATGATAAGGTGGTTTGAGTTGTATATCCCCAAAGACTTGTGTTTCATCAATATTATCTTATACTAACAAAATTTATATCATCCACAAGCCATTAATATGGATTTAAGATAATCTAATATAGATCTTAAAGCAAAATCTGTTAAACAGTTTCTCATGTATAATTAATCCATTTAAAGATTTTGTTTTAACAATGAGTGTTTAATCTTTAGTTACATAACTTGTCGGGTCAAGAGCGTTGGGGCAATTTGGGATCCACACAGCTGCCTTGTCTTGCTTCCTGGGGATACTTCCTGGTGTGTGTGTTTACTTACAGAGGTGTATCATGTCCTGGTGTACAGGAAGAGGTGTATCATGTCCTGGTGTACAGGAAGAGGTGTATCATGTCCTGGTGTACAGGAAGAGGTGTATCATGTCCTGGTGTACAGGAAGAGATGTATCATGTCCTGGTGTACAGGAAGAGGTGTATCATGTCCTGGTGTACAGGAAGAGGTGTATCATGTCCTGGTGTACAGGAAGAGGTGTATCATGTCTTGGTGTACAGGAAGAGATGTATCATGTCCTGGTGTACAGGAAGAGATGTATACCAATCTTGAAGAGGGTTATTTTGGTGTTATAAGAGGTATGTATACAGTATATATGTGTGTGTGTGTCTTAGAAAACACTAAAGGAGAACTAGCTGCAGACACATTCATCTGGTGGGCAGTCTGAAGGGTATCTAAGACAGACTTGGTGGCAATAGACATCAGAGTCTCTTAGTTCAGCCAATTTCCCGATGGCCTTGCAGTCTACCCTGTAAAATGGAGATGAGAATTAGTGTGGGAGTGAGATAGGTACAGTAACTCACAAGAGGTCATAGATGAACGAGACATTGAAGGAGGATTTTTACCTTTAGGACTAAATGCGAAAGCAACTTACACACAATGGCAGATATCCGGGTTGCAGTTGGGTGGGTATTGCATGCAATTCTCCTTGCAGAATTTGTTCATGCCTTCTACTGTTGCATAGCTTGCCCTTGCCTGACACAGCTGGGACCTGCCACAGAAAAAGCTGTTACGAAATTTCTGAGCCATTAATATGTCACCTTTTACAGCACATTACTGTGCTCACAGAACAGCCACTTGACACTCAATAACACTATCATATTGACTTAAAATTTAAATGTAGAAATAGTGAATACTGACACTTTGTCCAATAAGATTGTGGGAGGCACTTGTCAACTTGCTTTGGGTGAATGTGGTATTGTGTGTGTGTGTGTATGGGTTGGTGTATAGTATTTTTACCACATCTGTCATCACAGATCTACTCAGCATTATTGTTATATGGTCATTTTCCACACTTGAGTGAGTTAACCATGATTAGCTGATGACAGCTTTCCATGTTGCATTGTCTCTTGTCAGGCTCCTAACTCTAATGTCACTTCTTACATCCTCTCCCTATGTCATTCTTGGCTTGCCCCTAGCTCTCCCCCCTCCACATTTATACTCCTGCACCTCTTGACCCAATTGGTCTAATCCACTCCATATGCCCAAGCCAACTTGGCCTGCTTCTACGCAGAACTTTGCCAATAATCTCAATAACTAGCCGACAGAGAATTCTATCTCTTATAATTTTTAATTGTTGTTGGACTCGTGTATTACTAACATTGTTATGCACATAAAGACCATAGTTGTTGAAGTGCTTTACTTTTACATTTTTACTTACTTATATCCTCTTCGCCACTGATTGGCGAGTTAGCTGCTTGGGCGATCGGTCACGTAATAAAATTTTAACAACAGTATCTGCCATCCTCTTAGCCTCCTGTCTTTCACTATCATATTACACATCCATCTCACCTTTCTCATATCAGCTCTCTTTAGTCCATTTATGCTATTACTTCAGAAAAAGGCCTTATGGATGCTTCATCTAAAATCCTTGTACAGCACTCACTATTGATGAGCTCCTCCTCACCTGACAACCAGAGGTTTGAGACCACTATCCGTAGGCTTGGTATGAGGATCATGGGGCATGCCAGGGAAGAAGCCCCTAAAGTACAGTGCCCACGGGTTTTCCACTTTGTCGTGGCTTGGTGGACTATGACCCGTGTTGGTTGTGATGTAAACGTCAGCACAATTCACGAATGTTTCTTGTGGCCCCTTGCCTTGTGCTACCTCGCCAGTCAACTTGTCTTTGCCCCAGGTGTTCCCTAAAGGACATAGAGGATTAGTTGTCTTTGTTAAGAGAATTTCATTAGGTCTTATGACTTGCTTCATGGCACCCCAGACAGTATGTGATGACTGCCTGGTCCCTGTTACTATAAAACACCGGCTGGTTGAATAGCCCAGTCTGGGGGACCTTGGGAGGAGGTAGGAGATGGTAACCTTGGTTCTCAGAGCAGATGTCTCGGCTCCAGTTACATTATATTATACTGTACTGTATATATTTATAAAAAAGAATATAATCATATGAGTATAGCCACATCTATATGTACAGTATAGTATTTAAATAGATATTGTATCTCTTTTTAAGTGAATACAGTGTTGCTTAACTGTTACAATGCCAGATGTACTACTGTTCAGTATATAAAAAATATCTATCTATATGTCACATCCTTCTGAGTTGATTGTCACATTGGGAGCGCCTTCTAGCTTCCCCCAACCACTGTTAAAATCATCTTGGCCAAGAACTTAAATTGTAATACTTAAAAATTTATATTAAAAAAGTCAAGAGTTTAAAACCTAACAGTTAAGAGCTTCAGTTCTCCTCATTAAAATTTAATGCCATGTGTATGGGGTCCTCTCGGAGCTGAATAAAATATTAGAAGTGGCATCCTTATAGTGAAGGGTTAAGAACTTATTCTTAATGTGTGAGAAATCAAAGTGATATAAGTATGGTCATTGTACAGTCGAGGACAAAAGTTCACTCCTCTTGGTGAAACTGAGTCACAGGAATGTGTCTCCAATTTACTTAGTCTGACTGCCGTTTAGTGCTGATGTACTATTTTTATCTCATTTGGGAGGGAACATATTTTTTACCCTAACTGTACATTGTGTGTTAAATCATTGTACAGTACTCAGTTGATTTATTGTCCTTAAGAAACTAAATCAGGACCAAGTGAAGATTGGCCAAATGGAACTTATTACTCCTGAAGATAACCTCCCTAGCACTACTTGGGGGAGGGTTTGGTTAGGTTAAGTTAGCATTAGGGTGGATGATCTTCAGGTGAAATAAGCTGGGGTGCAAATTATAAGGTGATCCTAGTTATGCTATTCAGTAGGTTAAATTATTGTGGGGAAGGAAAGGGGTTTACAATAAAGGCAAAGAGCTGCTGACCTGCAAAGTATTTCCACTGTATGACGCAGTTGGTGCAGGTGATGCCCTCTGGTAACTTCACTTTCCACTTGAACACTATTGTCTTGGGACTATCCTCTGGTATGATGAAACTGGTCTTCCCTGTGTCGACAACAGGTAGCACATACCTGTAGGAGAGTATCACCCCATCAGGAAGAGAATTACAGTAACATGATGCAGACTTTACAGGTGAGCATCTCCCGGTGTCCATGAGGGGGCAGCAACTTCTCCCTATTTTGGACAGCTCTTCCTTCCTCCCTCCCTCCTTCCCTCCCTCCCCAGAAAACAAATACTGTACTAGCAGTACCACTAAATTCTCTGTGAATTTTAGATGCTGTTATCCGACAGTAGTTGGGCTTGCTGAGAGAGAGAGAGAGAGAGAAAGAGCAGCTACATATGTGACATGTGTACTGTACAGAATTTTTTTTTTTAATTTATTTTATTGTTATTATTTTTTTTAATATAATCATATTCGCCACTTATGAGCTTACTAGCTGTTTGGGCGGAAATAAACTGGGTGCAGAAATGATATGGAATTCCCTAACCGTTAAGTCCCATTTTATGTTGAATGATTAAGTTGTGAACCAGGTGATTGTCCTCTTTTCCTTTCATGGTGATGTTGGTTGAATGAACCGGTGTCACTCATCCTGTCACACTCGGCACTGCTCACCTGTAGCTGACCACCCATGGACTGGGGGGAGACGGGTCACGTCTTTATCACCACCCTTCCACAAAATGGGACTAAAGTGCAGTGATCTTAATTAGTACAGGCATCCCTCGATATATGAAAAGGTTCTGTTCCTGATAAAATTATTTATAAATCAAAATTTTGTGCATCAAATGTGATTTTCACATTGACTTCATTTATATCATTGGAGACACTGTACTGTACACTCCTACAAGGAAAATTGCATAAAAAAATACTTATACTTACATCAAATACAATTATTACTGCATATTTAATGGGAAAGAAGATTTAAGTAGGAATAGATAACAGATATAATGACATTCTGCTTTAGAAAATGTTTAGGCCAAATAGAATATGGTTTAGTTTGGTAATGAGGGTTTTTGTTTAATTAATTTTCAACAATTATTTGGTGAGTTTTCATTCATATACCTGTACATACTTAGAAGCTGTTGTGATTAGTCTAGATGTGATGTACTGAGGGGAGGTGAGATAACATCTACCACTGATGCTGTGCAAGTTAGATTAGCATTAAGGTAAATGGCTGGGGGGGGGGTTAATCTTTGCTTGATCATTATGGCTTTGTTTGGAGCACAGAAGATTAGGCACCCAGGTTATTTCTCTAGATCAGGGGTTCTCAAATTGTTCTCTGGGTACCCCCTGAGTTACCACCAGTGACCCATACTCCAGCTGGCGGGGGTTAATCTTTAGGTAGTCAAGCGAACCATGTCTATATGAATATGTTGTTTTAACTCTTATCAAAGGCACTCCTGGGTGATGATCTTATTGGGGTTGTTGTTTTTGGGCAAGTCTTGCTTCCATCCTTCCTTGTGGTTAAATGCGTCAGGTCTGCCTCGATCTCAATCACCTGCAACAGATTGGTCATATAGAATACAGGAAAACTGGAGTGCTGGATGAGGCTCTTTGGCGTGTGGCAAGTGGCAGGAAGACCTGGACCTAACACACACCTGGACCACAACACACACACACACACACACACACACACTGGACCACAACACACACACACCTGGACCACAACACACACACACACCTGGACCACAACACACACACACACACACACACCTGGACCACAACACACACACACCTGGACACAACACACACACACACACACACACACACACACACACACACACACACACCTGGACCACAACACACTCACCTGGCCCGACACATATCTCTTAACGATGATGGCGTTGCCGAATATGCCCCCACTTTCATGCGACCTCGGTACCGTCTCGACATAATTGTCACCGCACACGCCACATTTCCCGCCATTCTTCCCGTACTGAACTGTGGGGAGGAGGGTACAGTGGTAGGATTTATGGTACAGTGGTAGGAGTTTACAGTACAGGTATGCAAGTGCTGGTACAGAAAGATAATGTAACTTGTGGAGATATGGCCTATAATTACAGGTATACAGTGAGTCAGTGACAGATATAACTTCAGGAACTTGGATGTCTGAATCTCAGCTGATTTGAGCGGCTCACCAACAAATCCTCCGCAGTAGAGTTCATTGTCGTTGTAGTTGACGGGGTTAGGGAATCCGAATCTCCACATGGCGTTCCTGCCTGCGGGTTTCATGAGGCGCCCATGACCAGACGCACCAGCCTGTGGAAGATAACATGACTGTGATGCAGTTTGTGATTGTAATGACCGAGTGTTGAAAATCGAGGCTTTTAATCGTAATATTGCCCTCGTGTTTCGATTATCAATGGCAGTGTATAGCAAGGAAAAATATAATTATCCTTTGCTTCAAGTGTGCAAAATGGCTGCAAGATATCAGTGTCAGTAGAGGAGGAAACCGCAGTATGGGATACCTGTCACACTGGGTAACACCCTTCTCACATGTGTACAGTCTAGGACAGGTGTAATAAAGGTTAGGACAGGTGTAACAGGCGTACTACTCACCAACAGGACTGTCAGACACAGCAGGGTGACAGGTAATTTGCTCTTCATCCTGGAAATCAATAACAACAGTCAGTCACTAATAGAAAGGAAAAAACACTATGATTACCTGAAAAATCTTTGCCCCACAGCTTATTTCACCTAAAATTAACCAATCCAATCCAACCTAACTTAACCTATAGCATTAGGGTGGTTAATCTTTAGGTGAAATAAGCTGGGGTGGAGAGTCTTCAGTTGACCCTATGAAATATATAGATGAAACAAAGTGAAAAATATTGTCACTTATATATGAAAAATATTATATCAGATAAATAAATGAAAACAGTTACAAATATGTGCAGTAAACGAGCAAAATGAAGAATTCTGTCTCGAGAGATATTGAATACATGTACTGAGTATACTCGTTCGTATCTTAATATCTAGTATACATAGTCAACACATTGATTCACAGCACTACACACTGATTCACAGCACTACACACATTCACAGCACTACACACTGATTCACAGCACTACACACTGATTCACAGCACTACACACTGATTCACAGCACTACACATTGATTCACAGCACTATGCATTCATTCACAGCACTACACACTGATTCACAGCACTACACATTGATTCACAGCACTATACATTCATTCACAGCACTACACACTGATTCACAGCACTACACATTGGATTCACAGCACTACACACTGATTCACAGCACACACACATTCGCTGCACTACACACTGATTCATGCACTACGGACCGATTCGACAGCAATTGCCACACTGATTCATTGCACTACACATTGATCTGCCAGCACTACACTGACTACAGCACTGCCACACATCTGCGCACGCGGCATTCATTCACAGCACTACACACTGATTCGCCAGCACTGGCACATTGACTACAGCACTACACACTGATTCACAGCACTACACACATTCACAGCACTACACACTGATTCATGTTAATTGGCTGACACCGATCTGCACAGCACTACACACCGGATTCGCCAGCACAGCACATTGATTCACAGCACTACGCATTCATTCACGTTAATTGGCTGGCCACCGATTCACAGCACCACACATTGATTCACAGCACTATACATTCATTCACAGCACTACACACCGATTCACAGCACACATTGATTCACAGCACTACACGCCACCGATCTGGCTGGCAGCACTGGCACACATTCACAGCACTACACACCGATTCACAGCACTACACACCGACTACGGTGCACCACACACCGGATCTCGCCACAGCACTACCATTGATTCACAGCACTACACACACCGATCTGCCGGTACCTGGCACATCCGGCCAGCATTATGCATTCATTCAGCACTACACACTGATTCACAGCACCACATTGATTCAACAGCAGAATTGATTTGCAGACAGCACACATTCACAGCACTACACACTGATTCACAGCACCACACATTCACAGCACCACACACCGATTCACAGCACCACACTGATTCAGCTGCGCACCACATTGATTCACGTTAACCTGATTCACGCGCACCGAGATTCACGTTAATTACACACCGATTCACAGCACCTACACTGATTCACAGCACTACACACTGATTCACAGCACTACACACTGGATTCAGCAGTAATATCTAGTCTGAAACAGCACTACACATTCATTTTATAAGTTTGTAGTCTTCAGATTATTAAAATTCTTTTGGAGGATTTACTATGTCAACGAGAGAGAGAGAGAAAGAGATTTCTTTACCCGGAATTCTCTCCACTCTAATCTTCCACCTATGCTGTCTCTTTACCTATAATTTATATCTACCTCTATAATATACAGTATAATGTTTTATATATAATTGATATGGCGAATTTCTGTCCAGTGCAGTGAGAGAAGGGTGGTGGTGGTGGTACTGGTGGTAAGAAGTGTGCCCGCCAGAGTACCTGCGGGGTGTTGACATACTGACCTAGTTGTTCTCTCTCAATTAAGATGTTTACTGTAGACTTTCATCATAATAATTAAAAACTTAACAATAATAATGGGTGGATAGATGGATGGGTGGGTGGATATATGGGCGGGTAGATGGGTGGGTGGGTGGATGAATATCAGAGTATGGAAATTAGAAAGAACAGAGAAGGGGTGGGTGGAAGTTGTGTTGTGTAGTGTGGTATGGTATGTGCAAGTGTATGTGATAGGGTGTGGCATGGTATGTGTGTGTGGTGTGGGTATAGTGTGGCATGGTATAGTGGCATGGTATAGTGGTGTGGGTATAGTGTGTATGGTATAGTGTGGCATGGTATAGTGTGGGTATGGTATAGTAGGGCATGGGTGTGTGTGGGTAGTGTGGTGTGTGGTATAGTGTGCATGGTATGTGGTGGGTATAGTGTGGCATGGTATAGTGTGGTGTGGGTATAGTGTGGCATGGTATAGTGTGGCATGAGTGTGGTGTGGTATAGTGGCATGGTATAGTGTGTGGTGGGTATGGTAGTGTGGTGTGGTATAGTGGCATGGTATAGTGTGGCATGATATAGTGTGGTGTGTGTGGTGTGTGTGTGTGTATAGATTGGCATGGTATAGTGTGTGTGTGGGGGGGTATAGTGTGGTGGCATAGTGGCATAGTGTGGTGT